CAAAAACTAATATTACTTCGTCCTTTTCCAAGAAAAAATTAAACTTGCTGCTACGTAATTAGAAAAAAAGTCTTTGTCAGCAGACTATTCGACCTTAACGCAACAATGCTCTCCTTGTTTTGTGGCCGGATTTGTGCTTATGTAGGCATTATTGGATGAAAAGAAATCTAGTTTTGCAAATTGCTAGTGAGAAAAATAACTAATCATAATTAAATAATTACGTACTTTTTTTTGGGGTTAATTTTTAATGGAATTATTTTAATTTTTAATTTTTATAAATTTATTTTAAAAATAATGAAATTATTTTTTATTTTAATTATAGATGACATGTATTAATTTTTATAAATTTATTTTAAATTAAAAAATAAAAATTATTTTTTAATTTAAAAATTTACATTTAAAAAATTATAATTATTATTTAATTATTACTCTTTATCCAATAATATAGAAGTATAAGATCGACAACCTCTTAATCTAATTCATCTTTATTGAATAAGTTAGACATCTAAATCACTGACTAGAGAAATTAGAACTAAATTCAAGGCGAATCCCTAACCCTAACGAATGAGAACAGCATCAATCTTGCCACGTCAGATCTGACATGGCGCAACTTTTCAGCCTTTGACCTCAGTCTGTACCACCACGCGGCCCACACTGCGCTGGCAATAGACATATGCGGTGAATGTGATTTGAAACTAATGGTCATAACTTCTCTCCTAAATAATTAATTAATTATTTTTATTTAAATTTTTTTAATAATATTACAATTTTATATAATATTATAATTTAAAATTTTAAAAATATTTATTAATAATTAAAAATAATATAAATAAATATATAAATTATTTTTAAATTTTAAATTTTTTTAATAATATTTTTTTTACTTGTAAAAAAAAATTCAACTCATTAATAAATATGCTTAAGTGGCCTAAATAGGATATTTCAATTCTTAAAAATTTGAAATTCAGAATTAAAAGTCTTTAAAACAGATTTTAAAAAATAAATAAATGACTATTTGTTATGACAATTTATTCATCAGATATTAACAATTTATTGATTCGAATTAAAAAAGTTCAATTATG